GAAAAAAGACTAAATATTAATTGTTGCATATTTTGACTGAATTCTATTATGTGTACATATTTATCATACATTAAACGTAATTAACTTCAGTGTCTATACAACAAAAAATAAATGATAACATAAAAGTGACAGATTGGGAGAACGTAGCTGCATAAATCCCAAGTCCTAATACTGAAATAGGCATTCTTAAAATATTATAATATCAAATAGAGAAAAAACTATTATTAAAAATAGACAAACAATATGAACAGGTAATTGGCTTTTGTATTTCTTCACTCATAATGAGCCTCCATCTGTACAGTAATGTAGAGTGTGGGCCCTAGAGTCAGACTGTATGGATTTGAATCCTGGGTTTATGACACACTGATGCACAATGTTATGTAAGCTTCTTAACCTCTGTGCTTCATTTCCTTTATCTAAAAAAATTAAATAATATGTACTTTATAGACTTCTGATAATAATTACACGAAATAAGCTATGTAAAGCACAATATACCTGGCACATAGTAATAACTCAGTAAAGCTATAACAGTTGGTCCTCCATATCTGTGGGTTCAATATCCATGGATTCAACCAATGGCAGACCAAAAATATTTGAGAAAAAAATAACAATACCTATCATTTACGGGGTACTTGTTACATGTATTTAACCTTCCCAACATTCCTATGGGATAAACACCATTATTATCCCCATTTACAGACTTACAGATGCAACTGAGTCACGAAAAGATTAAGAAACTTGTCCACAGTCATGCACTTCATAAGTCACTGAGGCGAGATTTAAACTCAAGCCTGTCTAGGGCCACAGAGGTTTGTCTAGGGCCACCGCACCAACAGAAGTAATTGGATGAGCCATATGATCATATGGTCAAAAGAAGTATGTGTATATGTTTCATGATGGGCAAGACATACATAAGCTGACGAAAAAGAGGCAGTTAAGCAGAAAACATTCAAAATGTAGGTGTGTGAGTGACGTCAGGGATGGAAACAAAAAGAATCAAGAGCAGAGAATATGTAATTTTGTAAGATGAGGATGAAGACTGTATCTTCTGAGACCATAAAAAAGATGTGAAAAGCTATGGATATCAGAACTATAAGACTTTGCCATACAATATTAGTATAATTTAGCTCAACTTGGATTAAAATTTCAATTGAAGAAAATATATACATAGGATCATTTGAAAGGTATGTGTTCCACTTCCTCTTCCAGATAATTTAAATTTTTGAACTTTGGCCAAGACTGACTTTTAAAAGCTGAGCTAAAAATTGTAAGAATTAAGGAATTACAGGTGTCCCTAGGAAACCATGGAGAACTGGTTCCAGGATCCCCACAGATACCAAAATCCACAGATGCTCAAGTCCCTTATATAAAATGGTGTAGTATTTGTACATAACCAATGTACATCCTCCCGTATACTTTAAATCATCCCTAGATTACTTATAAAACCTAATATGTGATTTCGATGTAAATAGTTGTTACATTATATTGTTTAGAAAATGACAAGAAAAAAGTCTGTACATGTTCAGTACAGATGCAACCACCCATTTTTTTTCAAGTATTTTTGATTTGCAGTTGGTTGAATCTATGGAAGCAGAACCTACAGACACAGAAGTCCAACTATATTTTAGAGTTTCTTTTTGACCAAGGTGCCAATGAAAAGTCTTTTCTTCACTTAAATAATTGTAAGTTTTTCCTCATAAATGGTGCAACTTATGGAATAAACTTAAGTGTCCCAGTTTGCTTTGACTCTCCAGATCATATTTAAATTTGAACTCAACTTTAATAATTCTGTATGTACCTGCTTCCGCACAGCCATATCTCAAATTTCCCCGGGTTCTGATTTTCTATCTGTATTTTTTCTCACTTTGATTTTCATCAATTTATTTTTTCCAACATATTGGTAGGTTACAATAACCCACCGTAACTGCACTGCAAAGTAACGCAGGAAACAAATAAATGCTTAAGACGTACAAGAGGCCTGGTTGTATCCTCTTCTTCCTCGGAAAGGGCAGACTCCTGAGAATACCAAGCTGAAGGAAGAGAAACAAAACAGATTTGCTTCAAAGTTTCAGACAAAGGAATATAGAAATCTACAGTACCAGGTGGCTATAAGACCCTCTACAGATGAATGATCCTTGAAACAATGAGAAATGTTAACCACCATCTAGCTACAGAGACACTGAAATGGACACGGATAGCTAATTTAATCATATGGGGTCTGATGGGGATTTCTGGAGGGCTAAGTATATAGTGCCCAGTGAATCTATTGGCAATATTTTATCTCCCTAGAATCTTGCTGTTTTATTTCTAACAGGAAGTTTATCTTAAGTACATAATAACAGATACCCCAAAAATTTAAAGATTGGGATGACCTTTAAAATGCTTTTATTTTTTTCTTTTTTTTTGAGATGGAGTCTCACTCTGTCGTCCAGGCTAGAGTGAGTGCAGTGGCCTATCTCCGCTTATCGCAACCTCTGCCTCCTGGGTTCAAGCAATTCTCCTGCCTCAGCCTCCCGAGTAGCTGGGATTATAGGCATCCACCACTATGCTTGGCTAACTTTTTTGTATTTTTAGTAGAGACAGAGTTTCACCATGTTGGCCAGGCTGATTTCAAACTCCTGACCTCAAGTGATCCATTTGCCTCAGCCTCCCAAAGTGCCAGGCTTACGGGCGTGAGCCACCACGCCTGGTCTAAAATGTTATTTTTTAACCATAAAGAATTTAAGGCCTGGCGCAGTGGCTCACACCTGTAATCCCAGCACTTTGGGAGGCCAAGGCGGGCGGATCACGAGGTCAGGAGTTCGAGACCAGCTTAGCTAATATGATGAAACCCCGTCTCCACTAAAAATACAAAAATTAGCTGGGCCTGGTGGTGCATGCCTGTAGTCCCAGCTACTTGGGAGGCTGAGGCAGGAGAATCGCTTGAACCCAGGAAGCGGAGGTTGCAGTGAGCTGAGATCGCACCACTGTACTTCAGCCTGGGCGACAGAGCAAGACTCTGTCTCTCCCCCCAAAAAAAAGAACTCAGAAAAAAAACCTTCATCAGAGACTGGCTACAGGTAATGCAGAACATTCATATGATAGAATGCAATACAGTCATGATTCTAATGACATTTTTTAAAAACTTGATTTATTTTTTCCCCTAAAAAATTCAGGACCTTGGCCGGGCGCGGTGGCTCAAGCCTGTAATCCCAGCACTTTGGGAGGCCGAGACGGGTGGATCACGAGGTCAGGAGATCGAGACCATCCTGGCTAACATGGTGAAACCCCGTCTCTACTAAAAAATACAAAAAAAACTAGCTGGGCGAGGTGGCAGGCGCCTGTAGTCCCAGCTACTTGGGAGGCTGAGGCAGGAGAATGGCGTAAACCCGGGAGGCGGAGCTTGCAGTGAGCTGAGATCCGGCCACTGCACTCCAGCCTGGGAGACAGAGCGAAACTCCGCCTCAAAAAAAAAAAAAAAAAAAAAAAAAAAAAAAATTCAGGACCTTTTGGTTAAAAAGGAAAGCCTGAATACCTGCGTTTATTAATATTTCCACTCTCTCCCAAACCAATCGTAATGTTAATAAAGGAAAAAAGGAGGCTAAAACTCATAAGGACAAAGAATATAGAAGACTTCCACAGATAAGAGCGAGCTGTCAACAAAATGTGGGAAGCTAGAGAACAGACAAATGAGTGGTATCTAACTTAACCAGAGAAAGGCGAAGCTTAAGTAAGGGTGGGAGGAGGGTGGGGAAGCCATGGCAGGACCCTAGAAAGGTTCAGGAATGGAGCTACTAAGTATTTCTGCGGACTAGAGGTTGGGAGTAGGGCTGAAAACCAGAAAACCAAACGTAAGATGTCATAAAAAGATGTTAAGATTGCCTGATGTCTTCTTTTACCCAACATGGCATAGTCACATTTCCCTCACATTGGCAACAGGAAAAACTAAAGATTTTTTTCTCTAGATATACTGAATGAGACAAGCTCTGGATTTCAGGCATATCAGATTCAGATAAAGGTGGGGTTGAGGCAATGCAGAGAAAAAAGAATTAAATAAAAGTTCTCATATTGCAAGATGAGGTGCCTAACATGCCCACTTCCTTCCTTTGTCTGTCTCCCAAAAAGCGGGAGTTCTGGCTTGTACTCCTCAAGCAAAATCTAGGAATTCTTGCTGGGGAAACTGACTAGCCCAAAAGAAAATGCTTACAGATCCTGACATCTGGTCAACCTTCAACCTCCAAAAAATAATACCATATTAGAAAGAAGGGCAAGGAGAAGAGTGTGTTGGGGTGGAGGTGAAAAGGAAGGGGTTAGGTAGTGAAAGAGAGCTAAATCCTTAACTCCATTATCAAAAATCAACAGGAAATATCTAAAACTGAGAAATCAAGCATTAGCAGTATAAGAATGTTATTTAGAAAAAAAGGAGGTGAATACCAGAATATTGAGACGAAAATGTGCAAAGTGGTTGCCTTTCAGGAATGGGAACAGGGGACGAGGATGGATGGAATAGGAAGCTTTTGTTTATGTTATAGTACAGCATTTAAAGATCTATTTAAATATACTCTTTAAGAAATAAAAATTGCTTTTCAAAATTTATTTTAAAAAAATCAAATAGTCAAATGAATAAGATTAAAAACAAATGTCTCCCCTGCACAGTCAACTCACACACGTGACCTTTCTCGGTAGGAGTAATGCATTTCTTTCCACTGTCCCCAAATGTAGAACCTTTCTCTCCTAAGCTCTGTCCACCTATGAGCCACCTCACCTTTCCTTTCCACCATGTGGCTCAAATGCTCCATTGTTACACAGCTATTGCTGATCACTGAAGGTTGAGATGTCATTCAGACTTTGCCTGCTCTGGGCAGAAGGGTCAAGACAGGCTCCAGCAACTCCAGGGTCCACTCTCTTTCAGGACTCTCCAGCCTCTAAGGCAGGTCTCAGGTCAGGTCTCCTTCCATGATAGACACCTGTTCCTCAGACTTCTATTTGCACTGCAGATGTGTTTTATCCTTGTGGGGCCAGGACCTGTGGATTAGGATATAAATCTAATTTACCTGGTGCCTTTTCACTGGCTCCCTGTGATAACCAGCTTCCAAGATGGCCACCGGTGATCACTGTCTTCTGGTATTCATTCCTTTGTAGATCCCTCCCACCCTGAGTATCTTTGACCTTCACAACCAATAGGATATTGCAGAAATGATGGTGTGTGACTTCTAAGGTTAGGTTATAAGACATTAGGGCTTCTGTCTTGCATGTTTGGATCATGTACGTTGAGGGAAGCCAGCTGCCATACCATGACGACACTCAACCAACCCTACGGAGAGGCCTCCTGTTGACAGCTAACACTAACTTGGAAGCCAGCTGTCTTGGAAGTGAATCCTCCAGCCCCAGTGCAGCCTTCTGATGACTATAGCCCAGCTGACATCTTGACTGCAACTTCATGAGATATCCAAGCCAAAATACCCAGTGAAGACACTTCCCACAGAAACTGTGAGATAATGTTTATTGTTGTTTAAGCCACTAGTTTTTGAAGTAATTTGTTACACACTAATAGATAATTAATACAGCTTCAAACACTAATCTTCCTTATTTGTAATTCATACGCTCTGGACACACTGACCAGAGGTGTAAACAAAGTTATGTTTACCTATCTGTTTTTCAAATATCTTCTATGTGTCTAAAAGTATATGTTCGATGAGATGACAGATATAAACCTGAGTCAAAAAACACCCAGATTTGCAGCAACCCCAAATTTGGCAAGAAAGAGAGTTTCATTCAAAGACCAGCTATTCCATTCCATTTCTGTATTATCTTGGCAATTGAGTTAAGAGAGAACTGCAATTTAGAATTCCAAGTCTCTTCATCTGAAATGACAATTATACTCATGTCACAATAATATTGGATGAATATATGAAATGACTATTAAGATATATGAATTTAGGCCGGGTGCAGTGGCTCATGCCTGTAATCCCAGCACTTTGGGAGGCCAAAGCGGGAGGATCACGAGGTCAGGAGATCGAGACCATCCTGGTTAACATAGTGAAACCCCGTCTCTACTAAAAATACAAAAAATTAGCCGGGCGTGATGGCGGGCGCCTGTAGTCCCAGCTACTCAGGAGGCTGAGGCAGGAGAATGGCGTGAACCCAGGAGGCGGAGCTTGCAGTGAGCCGAGATCGCGCCACTGCACTCCAGCCTGGGAGATAGAGCAAGACTCCGTCCCAAAAAAAAAAAAAAAAAGATATATGAATTTAGCAGCTGCTATGAGTCTTTATTAGGTAAAGGGTAAAAAAAAATATGTAACAAAATAGACTAATTTTTGCCCTGTATGATAAAACAAATAAAACAGAAAACATTCAATTATAATAGGTTTTGAGAAGTGCTATGCTTGAAATATCCTCCTAATACCCCTAACACGCTCACTTTTTTTTCGTGACAGTGATCACTTTCTTTCTTTTTTTTTTTAGACGGAGTTTCGCTCTTGTTGCCCAGGCTGGAGTGCAATGGCACGATCTCAGCTCACTCCTGATCTCAGGTGATCCACCGGTCTCGGCCTCTCAAAATTTTGGGATTACAGGCATGAGCCACCACACTCGGCTGACAGTGATCACTTTCTAACAAACTATTAATATATACAGTCATGCATCACTTTGCAACAGAGATATGCTCTGAGAAATGTGTCATTAGGCAATTTCATCATTGTGCGAATATAAGAGTGTACTTACACAAATGTGGATGGCATAGCCTACTACCCACCTGTGCTATATGGTACAACCTATTGCTCCTAGGCTACAAACCTGTATGGCAGGTTAGTGTAGACAACTGCAATACAAAGGTAAATGTTTGTATATCTAAACATACCTAAACACAGGAGAGAAATTGTAAAAATATAGTATAAAAGATAAAAAATGGTACAGTGGAAAGTTTAAATGGAAAGTGGAATTACCATGAATGAAACTTGCAGAACTGGAAGTTGCTCTGAGTGAGTGAGTGGTGAGTGAATGCAAAGGCCTTGGACACTACTATATACTACTGTAGACTTTATAAACACTGTACACTTAGGCTACACTAAATTTATAAAATTATTTTTATTTCTTCGAATTGTTGAATTAGCCTTGGCTTACTATAACTTTGTTACTTTATAAGCTTTTCCATTTTTTTTTTGAGACAGAGTCTCGCTCCATAACCCAGGCTGGAGTAATGGCATGATCTTGGCTCATTGTGACCTGTGCCTCCTGAGTTCAAGTGATTCTCCTGCCTCAGCCTCCCAAGTAGCTGGGATTACAGGCATCTGCCACCACGCCCGGCTAATTTTTGTATTTTTAGTAGAGACGGGGTTTCACCATGTTGGTCAGCCTGGTCTCTAACTCTTGACCTCAGGTGATCCACCTGCCTTGGCCTCCCAAAGTGCTGGGATTACAGGAGTGAGCCACCATGTCCAGCCAGCTTTTCAATTTTTTAAAACTATTTGACTCTTAGCACATAGCTTAAAACACATTGTACAGCTGTACAAAAATATTTTCTTTCTTTATATCCTTATTCTATAAGCTATGTTCTTAAAATTCTTTTTTAACTTTTTGAATTTTCTTGTTAAAAATTAAGACACAAACACCCATTAGCCTAGGCCTACAGTGTCCAGGATCATTGGTATTGTCATTCACCTCCATATCTGGCCCCACTGGAAGATCTTCAGGGACAATAACACACATAGAGCTATCACATCCTATGACAACAATGCCTTCTTCTGGAATACCTCCTGAAGGACCTGAGGCTGTTTTACAGTTAATTTTTTTAAATAAATAGGCATATGCTCCAGACTAATGATAAATAGTATAGTAGGCACATGAACCAATAACATATTTATTATCATTACCAAGTATTATGTACTGTACATAATTTTATGTTATACTTTTATCTGACTGGCAGCAGAGTAGGTTTGTTTAAACCAGCATCACTGCAAACACGAGTGATGGTATTGTGCTACAGTGTTATATTGGCTAGAAAGTCACTAGGTGACAGGAATTTTACAGCAGGGGTCCTCAACCCCTGGGCCATGTACCAGTACCGGTACCGTACTGGTTCCTGGTTAGGAACCAAGCCACACAGCAGGAAGCGAGCAACAGATGAGCGAGCATTACCGCCTGAGCTCCACCTTCTGTCAGATCAGTGGTGGCATTACAACCTTACAGGAGTGTGAACCCTCTTTTGAACTGTGCATGTGAGGGATATAAGTTGCTTGCTCCTTATGAAAATCTAATGCCTGATGATTTGAGGTAAAACAGTTTCATCCTGAAACCATAACCCTCCCGTCCCCTGGTCCATGGAAAAATTGTCTTCCACAAAACCAGTCCCTAGCGCTAAAAAGGCTGGGGACCACTGTCTCACAGGACAACTGTCATATACGTATATAGTCCATACATATACGGCACATGAGTATAGTTTAGTTATATATACTGTCCACCCACCCCCCACAACATAAACTCCAGGAAAACAAGGACTTATTTTTGTCTGTTTTTGATATTGATAGTAGGTGCTCAAAAATATGCTGATAAAATGGTTCAGTCATTATCAAAAACACTATGACAATCAAAGATGAAAAACAGACATTACCACATGTATATATAAAAAATTGAAAGCAGGGACTCAGTTGTATACCCATGTTTGTAGCAGTGTCACTTGCAATTGCCAAAAGGTAGAAGCAGCCCAAGTATCCAATGGTGAATAAACTGATAAACAAAATGTTTATCCATATATGACATACTTATTATTCGGCCTTAAAAAAGGAGGACATTCCAATACATGCTAATATGGATGAATCTTGAGGACATTATGCTAAGTTAAATCAGGGTCACAAAAGGACAAACAACATATGATTCTGCTTATATGAAGTACCTAGAATAGTCAAATTCAGAGACAGAAAGTAGAATGGCAGATGCCATAGGCCGGGGGAAAGCGGGGGAAAGAGAGTTATTGTTTGATAGGTACTGGGTTTCTGTTTTGCAAGAAGAAGAGTTCTGTGGATGGATGGTGGTGATGGTACCATAACAATGTGAATGTACTTCATGTCACTGAACTGTACACTTAAATATGGTTTAGACGGTAAATTCTACGTTGTATATTTTACCACAATTGAATATATATATATGTATACAGTTGGTCCTCCTTATCCACGGGTTCTGCATCCTCAGATTCAATCAGCCTCAGATAAAAAATATAGTTAGGCCTACGATAGTTGTGTCTGTACTGAACATGTACAGTACAGATTTTTTTCTTCTTATTCCCTAAACAATAAAGTGTAACAATGATTTACATAGTATTTACATTGTATTAGGTATTACAAATAATCTAGAGATGATTTAATGTATACAGAAGGATGTAGGGACTTGAGCATCTGTGCATTCTGGTATCCATGGAGGGGTCCTGAAACCAACCCCTCCTGGATATGAACCGTATATAGAATAAATGGGCTACTACTACTAATTTGGGGCTTTAACACTAGAAGAGAATAGGCCAGGCACGGTGGCTCACGCCTATAATCCCAGCACTTTGGGATGCTGAGGTGGGCAAATCACGATGTCAGGAGATCTAACACGGTGGCTAACACAGTGAAACCCAGTCTCTACTAAAAATACAAAAAATCAGCTGTGTGGTGGCACATCTGTAGTCCCAGCTACTCCGGAGGCTGAGGCAGAAGAATCGCTTGAACTCAGGAGGCAGAGGTTGCAGTGAGCCGAGACCGTGCCACTGCACTCCAGCCTGGGTGACAGAGCGAGACTCCGTCTCAAAAAACAAAACAAAACAAAACAACAACAACAAAAACTAGAAGAAAATAATATACCAGACAAGAATAACACAGAAATTGGCGGATATTTTGGAGTTCAAGTATTTTAAAGTCTTAAGGTTGAGTTTTGTTAAGTATGCATATTAAAAATAGAAGGATAATAGCAGAAACCAAAGTAGGGGAGAAAAAGGGATAAGGTGAATTTGCCCAATAAAAAAAGATATATGTGCAACTATTATATGTCACTCAAAAATGTTTAAGGCATAATAAATAGAAAATAAAACGTTTATACGAGCAATCATGATAAATGCCACTGAATTATACTCACCTATTAAAATAACAGTCAAACGGGATAAACGGATGTAAACCCAGCAATATGCTCCTCACAAGACACAGATCTGAAACATAAAGACACAAAGGGGTTAGAAAATGAAATTCTTAAGAAATACAATAAAACTTGAAAAGCAATATTATCAGACAAAAGCGAACCTGGACTAAAAGGCACTCACCAGGATAAAGAGGTATGTTTCTTAAGGTGGTAGACTGGAATTTTAGTCCAATTCCTCACCCCCTCTAATAGATTATATATTCATACTCTTTGGAAGGTAACTTTGCCCTCCAATTGTGGGCATAATTGATTTTAGGCTTAGCCATGTGACTTGTTCTGGTTAAGGCAATCTCTCTTGTGCTCCGGTGACCCATCATGAGCAGAGCATGCCCTGGCAATAAATGTGCTTTTGGCCTGAGATCCAGAAAGAACAGATGCGGAGCAGATCTTAACTCGTCGCGCAGCCTATCCACTCAGCCAAGCCCCACCTAGATCAGCTGAACACCGTCAACGCGCCAGCCTGTGAACAGGAGAATAAGGACTTGCTGTTGTATGGCATTGAGTTCAGGGGTGGTTTTTACACATCATTATTATCATGGCAATAGCTAACTAATATACATAAAAGCAGCAAGTCGTAAGATAATAATGAACCTGAAAAGTTCACCAAGGAATACTGGAAAACTACAAATTGTAGGGTCAAGGACTACTAGGGTAAAAAAGACAGCAAAGGAGAGGAGTGGCCAACAGGGAGAGAGGACCAGTAAAAAACAAATAAGTGTTTTTCAAGTCGTTATCAACTATGCCAAATGCTACAGAGAAGCCAGCTCAAGACAAGAACTACTAGACATATTACAATCACGCACACTTCGCCACGCTCACACTCACTAGAGCCTTAATCACAATCACACACATATCACACATTTCATCATAATCACGCGCAACCAAACATCACAATCACCCCATCACAATCATTCGTGCCGTCACACTCACACACACAACCACACACCCACACTAACTCCCTTCACAGTTTTCTGTCCCAACAACTGCAACCACTTACCAGTAGCGTACCCTGAGCACTCCCCACTGCCGCTACTCGGGACACTCTGGGCCTAAGTGGCTCCGTGTCCCGTCAGCCGCGAGTCCCTTGCTCGCCCCCTGCAGCGGGGACTCGGCAGCGTCACCTGCCGGAAACACCCGAATGTTCATCCCGCGCGCAGTTTCTGAGATTCTGGGTGAAGGGGACCCACAGATAGGTGTGGAACAGACGCCTAAAGCCCCGAACCATCCCTCCACGTCCGCGACGTTTCCGAGGACAACACCTCCCAGCAGGCCCCGCGGCCCCACTCAACATCCGGCCAGAACACGTCTGCGTTTCCTGTGTGAGAGTGAGGCGTGGGCCAGGTTCCCGGGGAGGCTCATCTCCATTGCCCAGCGCTACAGCCACCCGCAACTCTGAGGCTCAGCTGGATGTTGAGAGTTGAGGGAGCAGCCGTTTCGGGTGGGCCCAGGCGAGGAGCTGACAGGAATCGGCGTGGGTCCCGCTCTGGACTACATTTCCCAGAGGGCCTGGTGGCCTGCCACTTTTCTCGCAGGAATTCGAACGTTTCGTCACTCCTGGCGGGACTCTTAGATCTGGGAGGTGAGATATTTTGGTCCCCGGGAGAACTGGCTCAGGTCTGCAAGTTCCCATCCGGGATGACTGGAAAGGGCTTAGTTGAGGATACCGAAGGCTGGTGGGGAGCTGGCGCCTTGGGCCCGTGTGGGCAGAGCTGCCTGAAAGGGGGAGGTTGTGTTTGGGAGGCCAAGGCGGGCGGATCACGAGGTCAAGAGATCGAGACCATCCTGGCCAACATGGTGACACCCCATCTCTACTAAAAATACAAAAATTAGCTGGGCTTGGTGGCGCGCGCCGGTAGTCCCAGATACTAGGAGGCTGAGGCAGGAGAATCACTTGAACCCGGGAGGCGGAGGTTGCTGTGAGCCGAGATCGCGCCACTGCACTCCAGCCTGGCGACAGAGCGAGACTCTGTCCCCACCCCTCCAAAAAAGAGGGGAGGCTGTGGAATTGTCTGGGAGATAATAACACTGCGGCTTATGTGCGGATATGGGATACCTGTCACTGGAGGGGTTGTGGCTGTGTGTACCCGTGGTGATGTGTGATTGTGACTGCGACAGTGTGGGGTGCCTACGATTGTGCAGCTGTAATTGTGTTTCCTATGGTGTGTATGTGATTGTAACTGTGTTGCCGTGTGTGGCTCCGTGTGTGCAGGTGAGAAGTGCATGTCGCCTTGATTTAAGTGTGACTGTCCCTAACTGTATGTGGCATTCTGTGTATGAGTATGAGGTCCCGTCAACTGTGCGATTGTGACTCCAGAGCTCTGTCTCTAGGAAACCTCTCTGAGGTCTGGTGGTCAGATTCGAACCCTGGACAGCAGTGAACACAGCCTTTCCCCTGAGCCACTGGAATTGGACAGGATGCCCCATTCTACTCGGATCTCCATTCCCCATGTGTGGTGGGTAATGGGGCTGGGGAAGACCGCTTACTTGACTAATTTGGGTACCAAGAAAAACCTGGTGTCTCACAGTTACTCTTCCCTCTCCCAATTTTACCTTTCTCCAGGTGTCACCAAGAAGAGGCGGAAAGAATGCATGATGAACTTCTACAAGCAGTATCCAAGGTGTGTTGGGGTTTCTTCTTTTTCTTCTGAAAATTCTTGCTTAATAAAGGAATGTCATTTAATTCTAGGTCCCTATAATTTTCCCATCACAGAAAAGGATGGTTGCTCCACTTATGCTTGCTGAATTTTCTTCTCAAATATTTATTATGATTTAAAAATAAAAGGATGATTAGTTTAGAGATCTCAAAAATACAGCATTACCAGGAAAAAATAAAATTTGACCACTCAGATAACTAGTGTTAATATTTTAATGTGTTTTCATTATTGGTCAAGAACCAAATTTTGTTTCATTTGCCATTTGATGTTTACATTTTTACAAAAAAAGTGTCATAAATATGATCCCACGTAATCATTTTCAAATTCTCTAACATTGCTGTCAGTTGCCTGTCGATATTTTCTGCATGATCAAACATACTAGCTCCTTAGTTTTCTTTGGAGATGTCTTTCCTATAGTCCTCACTTCTTATGTTCCTAGATGCTGTTCTCTCAGTCTGCTGCTGGATGGTGTTCTAGGATTTGCCTTTTATAATTATACTGGCACTTTCATCACCATTTTCATGTTAGTTTTCCAGTGTCTTAATATAGTACCTTTTCTTTTTCCTAATTTACTCCCTAGTTTTGATGGAACATGTAGCCCAGTAGCTTCCTAAGAAAAGCCACATTGGAAATACTTTTATCATTCCCTGCAGATTTCAAATTGTCTTGATTTAATCTTCATAGTGGCTTAGTAATCTGATTGGAGATAGAATTCTATTTCAGAATTTATTTTCCTTTATAATATTAAAGGAATTACTTGTTTTTTTTCTTGTTTCAAATGATGCTATTGAGAAGTCTATTGCCATTCTGATTCCTGAAAACTTATGTCATCTGTCTTTTCTTCCTAGAAGCTTTTAGAAACTTTCATTTTTTTTTTTTTTTTTTTTTTGAGACTGAGTCTCGCTCTGTCACCCAGGCTGGAGTGCGGTGGCCGGATCTCAGCTCACTGCAAGCTCCGCCTCCCGGGTTCACGCCATTCTCCTGCCTCAGCCTCCGGAATAGCTGGGACTACAGGCGCCCGCCACCTCGCCCGGCTAGTTTTTTGTATTTTTTTTTAGTAGAGACGGGGTTTCACCGGGTTGGCCAGGATGGTCTTGATCTCCTGACCTCGTGATCCGCCCGTCTCGGCCTCCCAAAGTGCTGGGATTACAGGCTTGAGCCACCGCGCCCGGCCCAAACTTTCATTTTTGTTTTGCCCTGATATTCTGAATTTTTACTCCAAGTATTATGAGATGTGTTTGAAAGCTCCTCCCATTTTCCTGTCTCTTGGGGCATAAAGGGAAAGTGGGGAGGGGGAAGAAACTCACTAATTGAACTGAATGCATGCTGTTTCCTATCACTGGAAAAGTCCAGCCTACTTGTACATCCCTTTGTACACAGGACATATATCTTCTGATATGATAGGATTCACCCCCTTTAATTTTGCTTACTCTGTCCTTTCTTGCCACCTCTACCACCATCTTTTTCTTTTCTCCTTCCATTGTGAAAGCATGTTTGTTGTTTCAGGGGTCAGTGATGTTCAGGGATGTGTCCATAGACTTCTCTCAAGAGGAATGGGAATGCCTGGACTCTGGTCAGATGAATTTATACAAAGAAGTAATGTTGGAGAATTTCAGCAACCTGGTTTCAGTGGGTAAGGATAACTATTCCCCAAAATTCAGAGTCTGCCCTTGTAAATGTCTCCTTTCTCCACTGTGAATTATTTGCTTCATGTAACCAGCTGAATTTCTGCTCCCTCTTCCCTAAGGAATGGTTTGAGTTGAAATAGAATGGAAGAGTTGGAAGTGGGCAGCTCCAATGGGCTGCGGCTGAAGCTTCATCTTCTCCATCTTTCTCTGGTCCTTCTTGTAATGTCATCTCTTCTTTGATCACTAAGGGACTCGATCTGATTTCTGGGGAGCCCAGAGCATAACCATGTCCCATGTCTTTTCTTGTGAGCAGGACTTTCCAATTCTAAGCCAGCTGTGATCTCCTTATTGGAACAAGGAAAAGAGCCCTGGATGGTTGACAGAGAGCTGACTAGAGGCCTGTGTTCAGGTAAGTAAGAGATGATGGCTCAGGAGCAGGGCTATGAAGAGATATACTTCTGAGATGTTATCAGGAAGCTCCCTTTAAAGGCCCGAAGCCTCTTCCATGTAAGGTATCCCACTTTTTTTTTTTCTCATACTTTCTCCCTAGTCCAATATAGTAAGTACCTCCCTGGCTATAATTATGCTATAATTATTCTATCCACATTTTAGGTTTCATTCCTTCCTATGATACGCTATGTTTAGAATTGTATAACAGTAGACACTCCTACCCTAAGAAATAGATGTGTGTAAGTGCGTGTGTGTGTCTTTTTCTTTCCCTGTACTTGTTTTCATTTTCTCTACTTTCAGCTATTTAACGTCTTTGACCAGTTCATTCTGGATTTAATAGCTCATTCTTTCATTTATCAAACATTTGATTATTTCTTACTTTAAAAGAAATTGAAGGATAACATACACACATAAAACTACATGACTATGAGTGCATAGCATGGTGAAATTGAGAATGGTGAAACCACTACTAGGACAATAAGTGGAACATTACTAGCACCTCAGAACCCCTTCTCTGCCTCTTCCCAATCATCAGCCTCTTTTTCCTCTCCCAAAATAAATACCATCCTAATATTTAGCACCAGGGATTCGTTTTGCCTATTTCTGAACTTAATGTAGATGCAGTTGCACAGTATTTAGTCTTTTGCCTTTGGCTTTTTTTGCTCAACATGTTGTTTATGTGACATATCTATGGTGCTGCATATATCTGGTGTTAGTTCATTCTTACTGGCTATGTTGTATTTCACTCTATGAATATACACATATATATTATATATTTATTTATTTATTTATTTATTTATTTATTTATTTTTTGAGATGGAGTCTTGCTCTGTTGCCCAGGCTGGAGTACAGTAGTGTGATCTCGGCTCATTGCAACCTCTGCCTCCTGGGTTCAAGCGATTCTTTTGCCTCAGCCCCCCGAGTAGCTGGGACTACAGGCCTGGGCCACCACGCCCAGCTAATTTTTTGTATTTTCAGTAAAGACAGGGTTTCAACATGTTGGCCAGGCTGGTGTCAAACTCCTAACCTCAGGTGATCCACCTGCCTCGGCCTCACAAAGTGCTGGGATTACAGGAGTGAGCCACTGCGTCCTGCTTCATTCTATGAATATATTTTAAATTATGCTTTATAGATTATTAATTACTATAAGTGACCTTTCTACTGTTGACAGCTGGTTTGTTTGCAGTTTTTAGCTATTACACATAATGCTGCTGTGAACGTTCCTGTGTGTAACTTTTGGCAAATGTACGTACACATTTCTTTTAGGCATATACATAGGAGTGGAATTACTGAGCAATAGGATATATGTGTGTTCAACATTAGTAAAGATACCAATTTTCCAAAGTAGTTATACCAATTTGCAGTTCTAGTAGCAGTATGAAGGTTGCCATTGCTCTGTATTCTTACATTCTTACCAGTTATTATTGCCAGGCCCTTTAATTTTAGTTATTCTGCTGTGTGTGTTCTCTGACATGCCTGTTTAAGTTTCTTGGCTAAACTTAGTCGGTTGTCTATCTTTTTCCTGTTGCTTTCTTTTTTTTTTTTTTTTTTTTTTGAGTTTGACAAATTTGTTGGTACTTTAGTAAAGACATTCATCTCAGTCATTTCTCTCTCCCAGCTTGACCTTAGGTTAATATTTCATTTGGGTCAAGAAAATAATACGTAGGAGAGGTATGTTATTTTAACAAACGGGAAAATGGACAAAAAAGGGATAGTTTGCCTACATTAAAGTAAGTTAAATTCATGTATCTTGATATAATTAAATCATGTAAGAACTAAGAGTTCTATATACATTTCCATCGTTTTACTTGGGCTTATTCTAAACTTAAATGCTAGTGAACAAAATGTTAGGAATATACGCAGGCTGCTTCTCTGGAGTTATTACCAACTAAAAGACTTCAGCAAGCAGTTGCCACCAGTAAAACAATCTGAAGCTGCTTCCAAATATAATATTGTAGGAGTTTTCAAGGAAATTTTTATACTGTATGCTTCTTTTGTCTGTGACTATGCTTTTAAAGATGTGTTTAACTGTCACATTTTTTTAAAAGTTCATATACAATACAAAAATACAAAACAGACACCCTACAATACACAAATCTAACAAAGTACATGTGGTGAGATTCCAAAAAATGTTTGAAGATGCATTTTCTTTCCTTCAATTTCAGTATCTACAATGTGCTTTTTCAGAGGCCGTTGGTCAATATGTATGCATTTAAAATAAACTATACAATTTTACTAGTAAGAAAGCCGATAGTTAAGTTCAATTCAAATTGGAGTTCACAAGTTAGTAATTTAAATCCTTAGACAAGGTTACAGAAAGTGCATCTTCTTATTTTCCATCTTCATACAATATTTTTTTTTTTTTTTGGTGTTTATACCTTTTAAAAACTAAAAACAGCCAAATATTTAAGCAATATGTAAATTTAAATTTTTGGTGGTGGTTTGTGTTTTAAAAGAAACAGCTTCCTTATGATTTGCCTCAAGTTCTGGTGGAAATGCTTAAAGGAACTAGCTAATAAACAAAAAACAAGAGAAGCACATTCAAAATACTGATTTACTTTGGTAGCAAATGGTTTTTCTTTGAAGACTAATGAAGATAGACAAGACCCATTAAGGTGAAGTGGACTATTTCAAATATTCAACAGTTTACATTAAAAAAAAAAAAAATTCTTTTAGGAGCTAAGCATCTGTATCCACTGATAGCAATGCAATACCTAGTTTATGATGACTTGAAACAAAACAAATGCCCATAAGGAAAAAAGCTGTATTTTATCTAAATTTATTTTCAGTGAATAGTTCAGTAACATTTTCCTCCCAATACAATACTCCCTCTCTTTATAAGGCTGTTCCTGGGAGCCAAACAAGTTTAGGTAATAAGGAGTTAAGAGAGTAACTGCTTGCAGTTTTAAATAGACAATAACTTTTTGCTTCCCTCTTAATGTGCTAATAGTTGTGTCTAAAAAAATATGCAATTCTTAAAAAGGTACCATTTCTGATTTCTTTATTATCTGTAACCTTTGGAAACTAATCACATGAAACTACAAAACTAGCAAATGTCTTGAAATCTGTATGTAACACATAAATTACCTCTAATTTCAAACTCTCGTTTATTAGTGTACCCCTCAATCTTTTAAAAAAATGAAAAAGAAAAAAAAAGCAGCTCCAAAGATAGTCTTATACCATTCTTTAAAAAAAGAAACTGTTCCTTTTAACTTTACACCTACCCCACACCCCAATTTCAAAACATCATTTAATTGTCTTGGTCATGGACATTTCCAAGATGAGATTTTATATTTCGCTCCCACAGCTTCTAGTTATCAGAAAACCCATGTTTTCCTTTACTGAAGGAGTTTGGTCCAGCTGATGCTGGTGTATCCCTTCCAATATTCTTCATCCTCATCTTTGCTTCTGGAGGCATTTCCTCTGGTTCACTATCTTCATCTTCATTAAAAGCTGCGGCTACTGAAAGAGTTTTTGGAGTAAGAGTTGGAACAGTTTCTTTAGGCTTACTTGATCCAAGTTTGATGGATATGGCTGATGCTTTCTTTGTCGTCTGACTACCTATGGCAAATCCAAACTTGGAAATCTTTGTAGGCTTTGTTGGGAGGTCGGCGGCTTCTTTTTCAGCTGATCGCTTCTCAGCGCTGCGACTGGAACTTTCCCCTCCGTTACTCCGGCGGCTCCAGCTCGCTGCAACTTTTCAGGCTTCTCCTCTCCTGCCTTCCCGTCCGCCATTTTAGAATTCTTTTTATATTCTATGTATCAGGCCTGTGTTTGGTTATACATGATGTAAATATCTCCCACCACTTTATATTTTGTCTTTTACTCTTTTAATGGTATCTTTTGATGAACAGAAGTTAATTAATTTTAATGTGGTCACAGTTACCTTTTTCTGTATAGTGTTGCTTTTTTGTGTCCTGGGTAGGAATCATTGCCTACCCTAAGGTCATGAAGATATTTCCTATGTTATATTCTAGTAGCTTTATTGTTTTACTTTTTCCATTTAGATCTACTTTTCTGAAGTTGGAATTTGTATGTGTTGTGAGGTAGGGGTCAAATTTCATTTTTTTTCCATGTGAATATCCAGTTGACTTCTTAGTGTTTATTGAGATGACTGTCCTTTTCCCATTCTCTATAGGACTACCTTTGTCATAAATACTGTATTCCTATTTCTGTGAGTCTGTCTCTGAATTCTGTTCCTTTGGCTTATTTGTCTATCCTTGTGCCAATAGCACACTGTATTAATACTGTAGCATGTAATAAATCTTATCTGGTAGAGCAAGTTCTCCTACTGCTTCTTAGTCCTTTGCATTTTCATTGTAAATTCTAGAATTAGGCCAGGCACGGTGGCTCATGCCTGTAATTCCAGCACTTTGGGAGGCCGAGGTGGGTGGATCACCTGAGGTCAGGAGTTTGAGACCAGCCTGGGCAACATGGTGAAACCCCATCTTTACTAACAATATAAAAATTAGCCAGGCGTGGTGGCGGGCACCTGTAATCCCAGCTACTCAGGAGGCTGAGAGAGGAGAATCGCTTGAACCCAGGAGGCGGAGGTTGCAGGGAGCCAAGATCGCACCATTGCTCTCCAACCTGGGGGACAAGAGCAAATCTTGGTCTCAAAGAAAAAAAAAAAGTTAGAATTAGCTTATATAGAGTCATTTGAAACTTAAAATGGCAAGTTATACTTTGCATGAGAATATTAATATCAGTTTATGGAGAATTAAGATTTTTAAATAGAAAGTCTTGTAAAAATGTTTGACTTTTTAATTTTGTACACTAGTCTGCTAGGTGCTGTACAGTTTAGAAAATAAGTAGGCTTATTAAGAAACTTGTTATCTAATGCAGGAGCTAGAACATTGCTGTAAATAATTTCTACAGAATAAGATTCATCAATGAGAAGATCAAACAGGAAGCTCAGAAGAAAGTTGTAAAACAGTCAAAAAATATGGAAGTGGAAATTCATCCAAGTAGAAGTTAATGGTTGGAGCCCTAGAAGTAGATGTTGTTACCTATAGAGTTAGCGTTGGAAATAGAAGATCCATGCCTCCCTTGAGAAAGAATTCTAGATTTAACGAAGCTCTAGGAACCTAGGGAGGAGTTTGTGAATCTTCACTTTTTCCCAGTTATCAGTTGATCTTAGCTGCTTTTAAGTATTTTATTTCTGTCTCGTAGCACTTTTCCTCCCTACCAACTTGCTAATTCACCCCCTTCTTAATCTTACCTTAACCTTGTACCTTTCTACTTGAAAGGTGGTCTCTGTTTATTCCTTTTTCATTTTAAAATAATTAATTTAATTTTCATTAAAGTAATATATTTACAGAGTTTGAAATCACAGTGTTATAAAGCTTATATTGAAAAACAGCAGCCCAGGCCAGGCGCAGTGGCTCACACCTGTAAACATAGCACTTGGGAGACTGAGGCGGGCGGATCACTTGAAGTCAGGAGTTTGAAACCAGCCTGGCCAAGGTGGCAAAACCCCATCTCTACTAAAAATAAAAAAATTAACTGGGCATAGTGGCAGGCGCCCGTAGTCCCAGCTACTTGGGAGGCTGAGGCAAGAGAATCGCTTGAACCCAGGAGGTGGAAGTTGCAGTGAGCTGAGATCATGCAGCTGCACTCCAGCCTGGGAAACAGAGTGAGACTCCATCTCAAAAAAAGAGAAAAAAGAAAAACAGCAGCCTGCTTTTTCATGTATACATTCCTACCCTGACTGCCCCGGTCCCTCTCATCAAAGACAATACATTTTCAACTCTTACTTTCATTCTTCTGATACCTAACTTCAATTTTTGCATAGTATGTTTGTTTTGTCATTTTGTGATACATCAAACTGTAAAAGTATTTCCTGATGTCTTGTTCTGATAGTTGAGATCTGGTCTCTGGTAATCACCATATGTATCTTGACTATAGCAATATTCATAGTTTATATCCTGATTACACAAATGTTGTTATAACTTTCCTGTTACCTACTTAATGTGCATCCCCATTTGTGTTATGCCTTATGTTTATTTGTATTGTAGTTTGTACTTTCTATTACATCTTTGCTTAATAATAGTCACTTAGGAATGTTTTTACATACTCTTCCCAAGTTCAAATACTGAATTGAAAATAAACCCATCAAAACTGAGATGTCTTTTTTATGTATCAGTTTTACATTTTGGAACAACTAGTTTTTTAAAGACAAAACTATTGTTATTATTATTTTTTTTTTAGACAGAGTTTTACTCTTGTTGCCCAGGCTGGAGTGCAGTGGTACAATCTCAGCTCACTGCAACCTCTGCCTTCCAGGTTCAAGTGATTCTCCTGCCTCAGCCTCCCGAGTAGCTGGGATTACAGGCACCTGTCACCATGCCCGGCTAATTTTTTTATTTTTAGTAGAGACAGGGTTTCACTGTTGGCCAGGATGGTCTCGAATTCCTGACTTCAGGTGTTCCACCCGCCTTGGCCTCCCAAAGCGCTGGTTTTACAGGTGTGAGCCACCATGCCTGACCTGTAATTTCCTTGATAACAAAAGCATATCTATTACATTTCTGTTATGATTATTCCCAGATAGTCTCAGCTACTCAAATTATAATGTTTAATCACAGAAAAATGTGGGCGGTAGGTAATTTAGAACTGTGATACATAAACATTTTAACGGACTCCTAAGTTCATGTGATACCACTCCCCCAATAGCCACCCACGTTCCTTATAAGCCTTTATAAAAAGGACAGAAATGTCTTTTTGCACATTTGTGCCCTGCACATACCATAACTAAAGTTAGCCTTGACCCAAATACAAAACAAAAAAACCCCATGTATTTATTTACATTACCCAAAGGTATAGCATCCTCTAACATAAAAAACAAGGCATACATATGAAATAATAATGGCATATACGTTAAAACTATTCTTGGGAATCAATGTTTTAATACCTTATGTTAGAAGTCATCCAAGTTTTCGAGGATTATCTATTAATTTTTCTTAATTCCATTGTCTTAAAGTTAACTAAAAATCTTGACTATTATATTTAAACTGACACACTACAGAGCAACACAGTTACTTTTTTTTTCTTCTTTTTTTTTTTTTTTTTTTGAGACAGAGATTTTCTCTGTCGCCCAGGCTGGAGTGCAATGGCGTGATCTCGGCTCACTGCAACCGCCGCCTCCCAGGTTCAAGCGATTTTCCTGCCCCAGCTTCCTGAGTAGCTGGGATTACAGGCATGCGCCACCATGCCCAGCTAATTTTTGTATTTTTAGTAGAGACGAGGTTTCACCATGTTGCCCAGGCTGGTCTCTAACTCCTGACCTCAAGTGATCCACCTGCCTCGGCCTCCCAAAGTGCTGGAATTATAGGCGTGAGCCTCCGCACCGATTTGGTTTAACACATAATTGTATAGTTTTTATAATTTTATTTTATTTTATTTTATTTGAGACACAGTCTGGCTCTGTTGCCCAGGCTGGAGTGTAGTGGTGCATCTTGGCTCACTGCAACCTCCCACACACCCACCTCTCCCAGGCTCAAGTGACCCTCCCACCTCAGCGTCCCTAGTAGCTGGGACTATACAGGTACACGGCACCATGACCGGCTAATTTTTGTATTTTTTGTGGAGATGGGATTTTGCCATGTTGCCCAGGCTGGTCTCGAACTCCTGAGCTCAAGTAATCCGCCTGCCTTGGCCTCCCAAAGTGCTGGGATTACAGGCATGAGCCATAGCATCCAGCCTAGTTTTTGTAATCTTAAAATTTACATTTTGCACTGATAAAATCAGGAGGAAGATATATAGTTATTTTTAAACCAGAATTATTAAGCCAGTCTTTTTAAAAATTTGTTTTTGAGCTAGCAGTTCTTGTGAGGTTGTGGCGTTATTTTTGCGGGGGAGGGGGGAATTTGTTTTGTTTGCAATTTTATAATTAGTTTATGTATTTGACGATCAGTGAGTGATTAGTTCTCATCCCATTGACTCTCTGTAGATTTTTGAAAGATGTAACAGGTACATAGGTAACCAAAGTATAGAGCTTATTTGGTGAATCGTCATCCCCATTACGTTTTCTGGACAACCTCACACGGATTCGTTATGGGACATTCCGAATTCGTTATGGGACATTCCGGATTCGTTATGGGACATTCCTGATTCCTTTGGTCCAGGCAGCTTTGTTGAGCCTGGTATCAATGCGCACATCTGGAGTTCCCGTCTCCCTCATGGCAAATTTCTGAATCTCTTTGAGTGCCCGAGGGCACACTTCTTGAAGCCCACTCCATGGATGCGCTTGTGCATATTGATGGTGTACTTTCGGGTCACCACCTTGTTCATTGCAGAACGGCCCTTTTTTCTTCTCGCCACCCTTCTTTGCGGGAACCATTCTGCCATGTCCAAGTTGGAAAGGCTTGTTTTTTTTTTTAAGCCTAGCACATTCAAACTTTTAGAAGTTTTCTGTGACTATCTTTGCACTACAGTCACACACCTGAATAGCCCACAAAGCTGAAAATATTTGCTATCTTACTCTTTATAAAAAAGTTGCCTAACCCCTGCTGTCTATGAACCAGAGTAGCGCTCCTTTAATTTTTTTGTTTTATTTTCAGCTTTATTAAGGTATAATTCACATACCATACAGTTCACCCATATAAAATGTACAATTCAGTGACTTTTAATATAATAGAGTTGTATAAACATCACCATAATCAATTTTAGAACATTTTTATCACCTCAGAAAAACCCCTGTACACTCTAGCTGTTACTCCCACCCCTCTCCAGCCCCACGCAACCATGAGTTGATTTTCTCTATGGATTTGCCTATTCTGGACATTTCATATAAATGGAATTGTACAATATGTGGTCTTCTGCAAATTCCCTGTTTCATAACTTAATGCTCTTCAAGGCTCATCCATGTTGTAGCATGTATCAGTATTTCATTTCTTTTTATTGCCAAATACTATTCCATTTTATGGATATACCACATTTATCCATTGATCAGTTGATGGACATTTGGGTTTCCTCTTTTAGGCTATTTTGAATAATGTTGTATGAACATGTCTGTAAGTTTTTGTGTGGACATAAGCTTTCAGTTCTTTCAGGTTTCTACCCAGGAGTACAATTGCTGGGTCATATCATAACTCTGTGTTTAGCTATTTGAGGAACTGCTAGACTCTTTTCCAAAATGGCTACACCATTTTACATGCCCACCAGCAGTGTATGATGGTTCCAGTTTCTCCACATCATTTGCTAACACTTGTTATCTTTTTTTTTTTTTTTTAGACAGTCTTGCTCTGTTGCCCAGGCTAGGCAACAATGTCAGTTCACTGCAACCTCTACCTCCTGTGTTCAAGCAATTCTCTTGCCTCAGTCTCCTGAGTAGCTGGGATTATAGGC